CCAGGTGATGTGCATGCACCTTAGTGTTCGAAAGCTCTGAAGCAGAGCACTCGGCAATCGATTGATCTGCTCTCCCTAAAAGGCACATTAGAATTGGGGTGTAAGGAGGAAGAAAAAGCCTAAAGAGGCACAGTCACTTTGCCAAGGCCAGAGAACCCACCAGTTATGCGAGTACAGGGTCCCGTTTATCCCTGACATCCACGGCTGTTTGTGTGGGAAGTTGACCGCCCCTTACGAGGGAGTCCTGCCACTGCTGCCGGGTGCAGTCTGGAAACCATGCAACAGGAGAGAGAAAAACAGTGTTTTCCCTCAGACAGGGTTTCAATGGAAATTCCCAAACTCATCATATTCCCCCAGATTTGAAGCTTCTTCACTCCTGCACTCCCGTTAGCGTCAACATGAATTGATAAGACACCCTGGGACAGAGAGGGAAAAGTGACAAAACTCAACAAAGGGGAATCTGACAATGTTAGTAAATGGAGTATAGTCCTTCCTTGGTATGGGGGCTGAGGGGGGATGGGTCCCGGGACCCCCTCGGATACCATAACCCACAGGATGCTCGAGTCCCTTACGTAAAATGATGTAGTGCTTGCATATAACCTGAGCACATCCTCCTGCGTACTCTCTGATCCAGGCTTTCAAGGCTCATCTTGAGAACTACAACAAGATGCGTGGACAGTCCTCAATGAGGAGTCCAAAGACCTTGTCCTTATTCTAGTGACTCTGGCCGTCTACCAACCACGTGGCTGTGCCGTAATCCCCATCCATTCTGCATTTCAGCTGTAGAGAGAGGTTGTGGGACTAGATAATCTGTAAAAGCCAGCTGTAACAGTCTATGCTCTGCAAGCACCCATGATATTATCCAACAATAACTTTGACAATTGATTTATAAACGATTGCAACTAAACATCAAAGAGGGAACAATTTTCCCACCGGAGAAATAAGACATATTTGTCTAACATGAAAATGGACACCATAAACCTTAGCATTTATTTCATGAAATACAAACCTGAGTGTTTGTTAATAAGGTATTTCCAACTAAAATACCTATTTATAGTTAACCAGACCAAAGAATGCAAAGTCAGCCTAGTCTGGGAGCATTAGCCAAGTCTTCCTCCTGAAGACAATTGAGGCAATTCAGAAGTTAGCTAGGAGACTAATGGGAAGTGGGAATATAGTAAAATCAATTGCTCATTTAGTACTTTCATATAAAAACTGGTATTATTTAAAAATCATGACACATCACAGATGATGACAAATTTGTTCTGTTTCTTTCTATCCAATTAACCTCTTTGGTCCCTGGATCTCGGACAATCAGGCAGCTTCCACTTCCTCTCTCCTTTAAGAAGCTGGAAATGGAAGACTTATTTAACTTCACAAGCCAGAAGCCAGAAATTCATAAGTTCTTTCCCATGTAAAATCAGAAATTCTGGCTGGCCAGTCTTCTTTACAAACTGAAGTGAAGGGTAGAGGTAGAAATGTGAGACTCGGGGATTGGTGAACATGGGCCCCACATTGTTCTTCCTACATAAAAACCTGCTGACCTTGAGAAATCTCTGCCTCCTAAAACTGAATAGCAGGATCCTCTGAAAACAAAACAATGTTCTTCAGCATCTTAGTTGATAAACGATTTGTTTTCATATCTGTTTCCAAAATATCAGTCAATAATGAATGGCTAAAACAAATTCTTTAAGAAAAATCATTTTCTGCCATTTAACTCAGATTTGAAAAGAAAATTGAAATAAAGAAGCTGGAAAGAACAGGGCATGCACAGACCCTGCTGCAAAAACAGTGTTGCAATTTAAATTATAATTAATAGCTGCAATTTGTTGAAGTGTCTCAAATTCTCACTTTAGATGCTGAGGTTCCGGTGGTTTCCATGGAGACATTTTCTCCAGGAGATGTCAGATATTATCTGATTTTTTTTTTGTCTCTAATACATGATAACCTGAAGCTTCTAGCACCTTTCATCGTAGGGGGTTTTATGTTAGACAATTGCGATTTATTTTTATAGGCACTTAAAGATGTTTTATTTGCAATTGGTTTCTGAGCCTAAAGTCTACAATTTTACATATCTTGAAACTTAGTAAATAACTGCAACCACTGGATTTATCTTCTATAGTTTAAAAAAAAAGAAGCTTTTATTCCCTCTTCTCCCTAGCTACTCACTTACCAAGTGTGTTTATTTCCTTTTTGTCTTTCTGAAGATGGAAGAAGGAAAAAGGAAAATGCACCAGTAGTGAACTCTCAGATTGCTTCCCGTATGGAAGACGGTGGAAAGGAAGAACGTCTGTGTGTTAAAGTGTGAATGTGACCACGTGTGAATGTGTCAGGGCCTACAGTATATTTGCCCTCTCTGTGGGTGAGAAGCGTCGTAGTGCACATGTGATGGGCTCCGAAGCCTCGGCCAGGCTGTTGCTAAGCGTAGAAGACTCTCCCACCGCCCATTCTTCTGCAGCATGTCCTTCCCTCCCGGCCTGTGCTGGGTAGAGGAGGGGGGGAGGGGAGCTAGTCCCCGGATGGTCCAGTGGAAACATGATCTATGAATGTAATGATGGGAATGACCAGACAAACAAGAAGGACATGTGCAAGGGCAATACATGTGCTTGTATGAGAAACTAAATCAGAGCTAGGATGGCACCATGTTTTGGTTATTATCATGTAGTGTCATTTGAGGATCCAGAGGAAAAGTGTATTAAATATCGTCTTGCTTATTTGATGCCACTCTGGTCTTGAGACTATTAATATCTATTTTGAATTAACACTCTAAATTTGGACCTACTTAACAATGTTTTCCAAAATACAGGTTCCCTGATACTACAGCACCACTAAAATTGCTCAGCTCTCCCAGCAAGCCGGGCAGTAAGCCAGTGTTAGTGGTAGGACAGAGCATGTGCGTGGATAAGGTTCATTGTCCACGTCCCAGTTGTGTCTGTTGTCCTCGGCATGCATTTCCAAAAGGATGTTGGTACCCAGGGAAAATGATGGTTGCGATAAAATATATCTATCAAAACAGCAATTGCTCTGATTGCCAGATTAAATGGCTTTGCCTTGAGGGAGTGAGAACTCACGTGCATTGGGACAGCCAGGCTTAGGTTATGATTAAAGCCATGAAAACGGAATGCTCAAAAAGAAGAATTTTGCCCTGATTTTCGTAAGAGTTTGTTGACCCGAGTGTTTTCTGCTGCTTGTCTTCTAATAATAACTACAGAAATCATTAGTTATCTTTTCTATATTCAATATGTTCATTCTTTGTTGGGAAGAATAAGAATGCTGCCTCACCTCAAGGATTTAGTTGAGAGGGGACAGCTGACTTTCAAAATTACACCTGCATGGAAGACTTTATTATTAGAAAAAGCTATATAGTGTTTATACCCCTCTTGATAGACGGGTTCTACTAATACCAGTTAACAAGCCTCCATTTAGCCTTCGCTACTGCATTCCTGGTCACTAGAAATGCAAACATACATTAGACTGGGCTCTGCCTTTAAAGGACTGGCCACTCAATCTGAGGTGGCTGAGTACACTTTCAGGAATGAAATGTACTTCATTTGATGGACAAGGAGAGGGAAGGTGGTAAACCAGATGTCCAGACAGAGTGCTAAAGGGGTAAACAAAGGCAGGTGAACCTGCAGCATCAGGAATCCATGTGCCTATAGAGAAGTGACCCGGTAAAACATTAGGTCATTTAATTGTCTTGTCATTGTCAGGATATTGTCATTTCTTGTCTCCTTTTTGATAAGCACAGAAACCTGACTTTTTCTCTCCCTGTACCCCAATCCCATATCCTGACATTCTTTAAAAAAAAAGTGAACCTTCAAATTATATTAAGTATAGTGACAAAAAGTTACAGTGGTAACTTATTATTTTATTGTGTGATATTCATGACACTATGAAACGGTTTGCTTTTCTGTTGCTGGTAGCCTGATTCTCTCTGCCCCAAAGCCTGCCTCACCACAGGCATCCTTGGCCACAAAACTGCAGATGCTTAGAGATATTGGCAGGCCTCTTCCAGGTTCCCTTGAGGTGACTGATAGAAACAGTAGTGGCAAGTGTTGAAGGAGTGCAAGAAATGACCTGAAATGGCCCAAGAAGAATGATAAGTGCTAGAGAACATTTAAAAATATCCGGATTGCCTTTGGTGTAAGACCAAATTCAAAGGCACGGGGAAGAAGACCTAATGTTTTAATTCATGCCATGCTGTAGCCATAGCTCTGCTTTAGACCAAGGTGATCTGCTCCAGGAAAAGCTACTTCTGTCGGAAGATTTACCTTACCTTCTCCAACAGAAGCCCAGATACATGTGAAATAGTTCCTGAATCGGCTTATGTACATGATCAGATACTCTGCCGACCTACAGAAAGACTTCAGGATCTATGTGCCTTTCTTGGGTTTAAAATTTGTTCTTTCTTGAGAAACATTTAATACAACTGATTCTGAATTTTTGCAATAGGGAAAGACATAGAAAATTGATTAGGCGGTTAATAATTCTTAACTATTATGAAATATTACCTCCTTACAAATTCCTGAAGTGTACAGTGTTTTGTTAGAGCCATTAAAATATCAGTTTAAAGAAATGATTCCTTTTTGAACTTTTTATTTCTGTCACTGTAAAAAGCTCATCTAAAAATACATTCAATGCCACCAGATGTGAGTGGGATAAAAGTGGATGGGAGGTAGATGCAAGGAAACGTGTTGTAATACGCAAGCTTGTCTGTCCAGGGAACGGGAGCAGGTCAGCCCAGGTAGTTCTTAGTATTCTCTGATGTTCCTCCAGGGGAGTGACAGTGTTTTATATATTTCGCTGTGAAAAGAGGAACAGCAGAAACAGGAATGGAGGTTGCTGTGATTTGGGGGGGGAATAGCAAGATGAGCCCATCTGAAAGGGAGATTTCAATTGGGAAAACTGGAAGTGTGGAAGAGTTGTATGAAGAAACAGGTACCCAGTTATTTGGGCTCAATGGTACACTTGACTCTTCCTTTCTTTCTCTTTCTTTACAGCCAGTGCAGATTTTCCCTACAACCCGGGACAAGGCCAAGCTATACGAAATGGAGTCAACAGGAACTCGGCCATCATTGGAGGTAGGTGATGTGTAGGACAGGCTTTCGTGCGGCTGCTCACCGGTGGAAAGTAATAATTCTCAGTTAAATAGTAGTCTAGAAAAAGCAAACATTGTCTAGATTTTAACATTGTTCATTTCGCCATTTAAATAGGACATGGGCCTGGTGCGGTGGCTTACGCCTGTAATCCTAGCACTCTGGGAAGCCAAGGCGGGCAGATTGCTCGAGGTCAGGAGTTCGAAACCAGCCTGAGCAGGAGCGAGACCCCCGTCTCTAAACAGAAAGAAATTAATTGGCCAACAAATATATATATATATAAATTAGCCGGGCGTGGTGGTGCATGCCTATAGTCCCAGCTACTCGGGAGGCTGAGGCAGGAGGATTGCTTGAGCCCAGGAGTTTGAGGTTGCTGTGAGCTAGGCTGACGCCACGGCACTCACTCTAGCCTGGACAACAAAGCGAGACTCTGTCTCAAAAAATAAATAAATAGGACATAGATTTTGAAGGATGATATGGAGAAACTGTAGTAAATGTAACCTGGCTAATTCTTAATGCTGGCTTGTTTTTGAAGAAAAGAAAAAAAAAGAGGAAGAATGGTAATAGTGAGCTAGACAGAATCAGGACATGTAAGTAGGTAGCAGTGACCGACCGTAGCTAGGGCATTTCTTTATCTCCTCTGATTTTTTTTTTCACTCTCACCCTCTTGTATCCAAATGGTCCAGGGTAGCTCACTATGAACATGGGAAGGAATATACCAGTCTGGTTATAGTTATCTTAACAAAAATTATCAGAAAATTAATAAGCCAAAGCTGGAAAAACAAACACCATATGTACTCACTATTAAATTGGAACTAAATGATCAACACTCATGTGCGCACATGGTAGTAAACCTCAATGGAAATCAAGCCAAGAGGGAGGCGGGGGGGGGGGGGGGGGGGGAATGGGTAAATTCACACCTAATGAGTACAAATGCACACTGTCTGGGGGATGGGCACATTTACAACTTTTACTCAAACTGTACAGAACCAAACTCACAGAACCAAAACATTTGTACCTCCATAATATTCTGAAATAAAATCAGTCAAAGCATCTAAAATATTCAAGTCTTTTCTTCTTGCCATGGATGGCTGCAGAATAATTGGATTCTCCTAGGATGATGGTCCTTCACGTTGGGTCACACTATTGGTAGCCCTGTCACCATAATGTTCTTCTCTCCCTGCTCCTCAGTCCTATTCCACAAAGATCCCCTGCCTTTCTGAGTGTGGCTAATATTGTAAACACTTCGAGGATTTTAAACTCGGCCAACCAACATGCCTTAGCCAGTAAGCTGCTTTTCTGCAGGAAGAAAGTACACAACTCCTTTCTAAGAAACACATATGACTATAAAATTAGAATACATTCAGAATGGTGCTTAAATCACATTAAGGTCCAAATCCTCACTGGCTTTTTTTTTTTTTTTTTGCTTTTTATAAATAAACTTTAATATGTACCTTTAAGTGTAACAGGGCAATCACTTTCCCAAGCTCATACACCCATACCACTGCAAGATAGAGAGCATTTCTATCACCCTAAAAAGCTTTCTTGTGTCTCTCTGTTGTCCCCTGCCCCACTCCCAACCAAGGCAACGTCTGACTTGCTTCTTGTCACCATTAGGTTAGTTTTGCCTCTTTTTTAGAGTTTCATATAACTGGAATCATATAGTATATAGTGCCTTCTCAGCACCGTTTTTTGAGACCTATCCACATTGCTGCATGTAACAATAATGCATATATTTTCATTGTCCAGTTGTATTCACATTGAATGGATATACTATAATTTGTTTTATCCACTGACATGTTGATAGATATTTGGTTTAGTTTCCAGATCTGAGCCATTATGAATAAAGTTGCTATGAATATTCTTGTACCAGTATTGTGTGAATATAAGTTTTAGTTTTTCTTTGGTAATTCCTAGAAGTACAATTGCTGGGTGTTCTAGAAAGTAGATAGACATTTAACTTTGTAAGAAATTGCCAGTTTTCCAAAATGGTCATACCACTGCACCAAGCTCATAAATTGAACATCTTAACATTTAGTACTTCTATCTTTAAACATGGTGTATCCACACCTTTATTTAGGTCTTTCTTAATTTTTCTCAGCAAGGTGTTATGGTTTTCAGTGCAAAATCTTGAACAACTCTGTTCAACTTGTGCAATTATAAATGGTATTTTATTGCTTTCATTTTCTAAGTGTTTCTTGCTGGTAGATAAAAGTACAATTGATTTTTTTATATATATATATTAACCTTGTATTCTGTGACCTTGCTTAAATTTTCTGTTAGTTTTAGTAACTTTTTTTGGTATATTCCTTATAATTTTCTACATAGATGAGCATGTCTTCTGAGAAAAGAGTTTTTGCTTCTTTATTCACCAGTGCAAAGGTGAATAAAAGTGTTGAGATTTGACAATCTTGCATTGTTCCATAGGGTAGGAGAAATGTGCTTAGTCTTTCACTATTAAGAGGGATATTAGCTTTAGTCAGGTTGAGAAAGTTTCCTTCTATTCATAGTTTACTGAAAGCTTTATGATGAATGGGTGTTGGAAGTTTTCCAAAAGCTTTTTCCACATCTTTTGAGAGGATCATATAGTTTTCCTCCTTTTTATTTGTTTAATGTGGTAAATTGCATTGCTTTATTTTGAATGACTAACTAAACTAACCTTGGATTCCTATGCATCATGATGCCTTGCATCATTTTATCATAATATTAAATATATTATCATTTTTACATATTACTGGGTTTGATTTGCTAACATTCTACTAAGGAAGAATATAGCTCCATAGTTTTGTCATGTTTTTGTCTGGGGTTAGTATCAGGATAATGCTGGTCTCATAAAATGACTTGAATAGTGTTTCCTCTTCCTCTATTTTAAGAAATATTTGGGCCGGGAGCGGTGGCTCATGCCTATAATCCTAGCACTCTGGGTGGCCGAGGCGGGAGGATCGCTCAAGGTCAGGAGTTCAAAACTACCCTGAGCAAGAGCAAGACCCTGTCTCTACTAAAATAGAAAGAAATTAATTGGCCAACTAAAAATATATAGAAAAAATTAGCTGGGCATGGTGGCGCATGCCTGTAGTCCCAGCTACTCAGGAGGCTGAGACAGAAGGATTGCCTGAGGAGTTTGAGGTTGCTGTGAGCTAGTCCAGGTTAGAGTGCCATAGTGTCAGACAACAGAGTGAGACTCTGTCTAAAAAAAAATTGTAGGATTGGTATTTCCTTAGGTCAAGTTTGTTAATAGTATTGTTCAGGTCTTCTAAAGTCTTACTGATTTTTCTGTTCCATTTGTTCTATCAATTACTGATAGAAAAGTGTTCATCTCCAACTGTAATTGTGAATTGGAATAATTCTTCCATTTCTGTCAGTTTTTGCTTCATCTACTTTGTGGTTCTATTAGGTGTATATACATTTGGAATCACTGTCTTGAAGAGTTGACCCTTTGTTATCATGAAATGTTCCTTATTTACTAATAACCTTGACCTTTGTCTCATATTAATATAGCTGTTCCAGCTTGCTTATGATTTAGTGTTTGCATAGTATGTCTTTTTCTACCCTTTTACTTTTGACCTATTTCTTCATATTTAAAGTTTATATCTTGTAGACATCATACAGTTGGCTCCTTTATCTACTGTCTCTCTGCTTAATTGGAATGCTTAAATCAATTATACTTATTTCTATCCTGTCTAATCTCTATTTTAACCAGCGCTTTTTCTTTCAGATATTGCATTTTACCTCAAGTTCCACTTTGTTTCATTTTATAACTTGCATTTTCTCATTATGATCACATTTTACTTTAAATCCCCATGCCTATTTGAACTAGCTGTTGTAATGTCCTTATCTGCTAATTCCATGATCTCTGCCATTTCTGTATCTTCTAATTGATTTTTTTTTTCCTGGTTGAGTGATATTTTTCTACTTTTTTTTTTTTTTTTTTTTTTTGCATGCTTGGTAATTTTTTATTGGATACTAAACATTGTTACACTGAGTTTTTGAGTTATATTGTCTTTCTTTAATAAACACTGATGTTTGTTTTGGCAGACAATTAAGTTCATTGCAGCTTGATATTTTTTAGTCTTTTCCAAAGCTTTGTAAGGGCAGATTTAGAGTAGACTTTAGGCCTAGTTTAGCAAGGCATCCTCAGCACCATCCTCTTGTAGCCCATACTAAGTATCCTGCTTGTTTAATGAGGTCTCCCCACTGTGGTTGGCTTAGAGCATAAACATCTCCCAGCCCTCTGTGAGCTCTGGAAATTGTTCTGCTTACAGCTCCTGCATCAATTCTCTTTGCCCAGCCTTGTGGAATTCCATCCTATACATGCATGTATCAGTATTCAGGACTGATCCAGCACAGATTCCAATCTGTGCAGACTATGAGAGTTCTTCCTATGCATAGCACTGTGTGTGCGTGTATGTGTCTCCCTTATCCTTCAATTCAGGGAGACTGCTTGTTTTCTTCAATTCAAGGAGCTGCTCCTTCCTGCACTGCTGTCCGGAAATTGCTGCCAGTGAGAAGACCAGGGAAAATGTGTAGGATTCATCTCTCTTCTCAGACACTGTGGTTCTGCTCCGCCTATTGCCCAATGTCCAAAAAACAGTCGTTTCATGAGTTTCCCCCTGCATTTTAGTTACTCTTGGCTGGAAGACAAGTTACTCCTGTTGTTCTTGTTACCCGTGCATGGACAAAAGCAGAAGTCTTCAACTTTGTTCTCTTTATTGTTGTTTTGCAGTGTGTTTTACAGGGGAAAGGGTAATGTTTGAGGGAACTACGGTGCAGTAGGGGGAAAAGTGTTGGGGGGGGTATACAGGATTTGTTTAACTCTAGGGCTTCTCCTGTCTCCGCCAGGGGTCATTGCCGTGGTGATCTTCACCATCCTCTGCACCTTGGTCTTCCTCATCCGGTACATGTTTCGTCACAAGGGCACCTACCACACCAACGAGGCGAAGGGAGCAGAGTCGGCCGAGAGCGCGGACGCCGCCATCATGAACAACGACCCCAACTTCACAGAGACCATTGACGAAAGCAAAAAGGAGTGGCTCATCTGAGGGGTGGTGGCTATCTGGCTGTGGGATGGGGAGGAGGGAAGTCCTAGGGAAGGAGGGAAAGGGACAATAAGCACCCTGCTTCACACTCTGAGCACATCCTTAAAAAATATCTAGCACAAGTTGGGGGAGGCGAGCGACAGAATCTTCTTGAGACTGAGCACCACAAAAAAAAAAATACTTTTTACTATTTCTTTATAGCTGAGTTTCCCCTTCTGTATCAAAACAAAACAATACAAAAAATGCTTTTAGAGTTTAAGCAACGGTTGAAATTTGTAGGTAATATCTGTCTTATTTTGTGTGTGATTTAGAGGTGTTCTAAAAACCCGTGGTCACAGGGCAAGTTTTCTACATTTTTAAGAGCCCTTAGAACGTGGATATTTTTTCCTTGAGAAAAGCCAACGCGCATCCGTGCGGCCCCCAACATTCTCTTCCTTTTGCTTAGAGTCGGCTTTTAAGGGGCTGTTGTAGTAACTAGTTTGTGTTCATATAATATTTCTTTTGATGTCCTATAAACCGGAAAAGGAAAGAAAGGGGCAAAGAGAACCAATGATTTGCCAGTTTTCAAAGAGTTTTGAATCTACGCCGGTCCTGAGGGTCCCTGCGGACACCAGCGGTTGAAGGAAGAGGGTCTGGCGCCTGTTGTGACCACAGAATCAACACGACTGGAGAGAAGTGTGAAAGAACAAGGGAAAGGAGCTTATTGTATTGGGGCTGTTGGTTTTATTTTTCATTGAATTCTGCAAGATGATATTGTTCCATGTACATAGTCTTAGACCTATTTAATATCTGTAACTATCAGCTACAATACCATGGTGACCAGCTGTTAGAAAACAACTTTTCCTGCTTTACCTGCAAAATATTGGATTTATATGTGTATAAGCGCCTCAGTGGGGAATTAGAGCCAGATGTTATGATTTGTTTGCTCTGTTTCTTTTAGAGTTGTAGCAAAATTTCTAGCGAATGCATAAATTAGGTTGCTCTTCACATTTTGCTTTAAATCTCTGGTTTTTACACCCCTGTGACAAAATCCTAGCAGACAGTGTCCTCTGGCTGGACACAATACAATAAAGCCGAGTTGTTACTGCAATTACTCTGGAATCCTATGGAAAACACTGCCATGTTTTAAGTCAACTGCCCCACGTGGTGTTCCATTCAAAACAGACACACGGCCGTGATTCAGAGAACTTCCATGACAGACACACTTGAACCTCACGTTCATGACAAACCTGGTAACTGATGGTTGCTTCTCAGAGAATGAATGAGTCTACTTAATCACATTTCTTAGTTTAATCAGAAACCTTGACCAACTTATTTCAACAAATAACTTGTTGATTTTATTTTATTTTTGAGACAGAGTCTCACTCTGTTGCCCGGACTAAACTCATTGATTTTATTTAAAAATAGACTGTAAACAAATGGGGACAATACTCCCTATTGGAATATCAAAATTTTTAAGAATGTGTTTTAATTACACAAGTTATTTCTAGAATGACTACCATTTATGATCATTATACTTCAGGCCTCTTGGACTTAATAAGTACTCTTAAAAAAAAAATCTTTAGATGCCAACATTTTGAGGAATTGCATATGATCACACTTTCCTTCTCCTCCTGGAGGGTGGGTAGGGTGAAGTTTAAAAGGTATGGTTGCTATTTTTCTGATGCCTTGGCTCAATAAAATCGAAGTTCTACTTTGTTAGGGTTGTACGTACACACTCTTCAAGATTCTCAGTGTGTCTCATCACTGGAGGGCCTCCATCCCTGGGTAATGGAAAGCATGATCTAGAGCAGGAGTCCTCAAACTTTTTAAACAGAGGGGACCAGTTCACTGTCCCTCAGACCGTTAGAGAGTGTGCACTGTGGGCCCGGGACTAGTTGGCTGCTAAACAGGACAGGCAGCGGTGGCAAAAACACCCGGAGGGCCGGATAAATGTGCTAGGCGGGCCGTAGTTTGAGGGATGCCTGATCTAGAATCACAATGGCACATTACGCAATTCGTAATACGTTCTGATTAGGACAGTGGACAAGCTAACTCCAAGTTAAGGCAACAGAACAAAAGGGCCCCAACGCCCTTCCACAGCTGCTAGCCGACCACAGGCCCAATCACAAACACCCTTCATTTAGAAAGGTCTTGATCATTCTTCTATACGATGCACTTAAAATTGGAAAGCATTTAATATGACTAAATATCAGAACAATGTAATATTTACAAATGACATGGTGACATCCAAGGCTGTTTTATTTAACCAAGATGACTACGATTAAGGGTTGGTTTGTGTATTGTCAAACTGAAAAAGCAAATTTTAAACATTGTGTTTTTTTAGAAGTGTTTCAGATTTTTCGGCCTATTTTACAGGTATTACTTTTGCACTTAACAAATAATAATGCCAGGTGGAAATTTATTTCTTGCAGTTCCCGCAATAGCTTTATTCTTTCTGCTTTGTCTCAGCACTTTTCCTTTCTTCCCAAAATGACTAAGATTAGAACCGCCCAAAGCCGCTCCTGATAACAAAATGCTGTCATCCTTTCTCTTCCCTTTCTTCTTTCCTCCTTCCTGCCACAAAAGGTGAAAAATAAGATCAAACCCTTCTCTCACCAAATTTTCGAACGTAGGGCACTGGAATTCCTGCAGGGCTCAGTGGCTTTTCCCATATTACCATCAGTTAAGACATAGAGAAACACGACAACAATGACCCTTTTCCTAAGGGGGTCACAGTGTGGCCATCAGACAGGACACAAAAAGGTAGATAAGGTATTAAGTACCTTAAGGACAAATAAGTGCTGGAAATCGTGGCCTCTCCCTAGGATTATGAGTTTAACAAAAATTCCTGCATCTGTTTATAACAGCCATATCCCGTATATTTTAAATGGTAAATAAGCTGTTCATGTGAAAAAAGAAAATAAATCTTTTCTCCAACTCCCTCCCTTGGCAGCTTAGCACAATGCATCCTCCATAGCCACGACATTAAGTCCCAAACTCGGTGCCTAATCTTGCTTTGTCATTCGCATCCCACAAAATCTTGACATTTTATTAATCCCAATACGTTATCAATCAAGCACAAATAGGCCTTGTGGTAGCCTCTTTAAATGTGATACCAATAGACAAAAAAGGAAACAACAGAAACAAGAGGTTGTTTAAAGTTTCAGGGAAAGTTGATGGCTGATTTAGGGTTGTTTGTGCAGGAAACATCTTCTGTGTATAAAGCAAACATCTATGTTGTGAGAAGCTAGGAGTAGAAGACTTTGAATGAATGAAAAATTAGTGCTATTCTAAGCACTCAAAACAGCACATTCCCTAGAGCTCGAGGAAGCTAGCCCAGGAGATAGAAAAAGTTATTTTATTGTTAAATTATTCTCTGGCCCTTCTTAATGTTTAAGAATATATTTCCCCTTGTGGCTTTCAACCAACTGCTCAAAAAAGGGAACTTGTTATATGGAAGTGTTTGTTGAAGAGCTGGGAACAAGAGTTTAGAGTGCCTTTGTTAGGAGATTTTCCGTTGCCCTGCGTTTGACAAACGAGCATCCTGTATTAACAGGAGCAGGAATTCAGAGGCACAAGAGAAAGCATTGGCAGGAGCAAAGAGTGGATCTTAAATGTTATTGTTGAATATGTGTTGAGCAGTCCCCAGGAGCAGGCTGAGGGATGGACCCAGAGACACAAGCCATAGAAAGCACCCCAGGAAAAAGCGAACGGCTATTGGATATGAAAATGCAAGCGTTCAGTTCCTGTCAAGAAGAAACTTCTTCTGTACTAGGATCTGTTCTTTTCTGTCCTTCCACTTCTTCCTCTTCTCCTCGCCATATCCTTCTCTTACAGTGTGAGTATCTTAATGGCCTCTTTATGGCTCATGCCTCCAAACAATTAACACCTGGTTTGAACCTCTATTTTTTTTATCATCCTATCAAGCCATTTTCAAAAAGAAAGGCAGCAATTATTAAATTGAATTCAAGTCAGCAAGCCAAAAATAGATCTTAAATTGCTAGTCCCAGTAGGACCACCTGATCCTGAAATAGGTGAGAAACAATAAAATAACGTGCCCAGCTGAGCTGAGCTCAAAACCAATGCGTGCTGCTGCTTAAGTGACGTTTTGGTGAGAGAGGATCCTGAGTCAGCTGGCAGAGTCCTGTAGTCCTTTCTCTCTGCCTGCCTCGCTACGTGACCTCGGTCAAGTCCCTGAACTTCTGTCCCTCTTTGCCCCGTATTTAAGATGGAGCTGTTTTACCTACTTCATAAGACAACTGTGAGGTGCCATTGATTCTTGACTGTAGAGTACCTTGAAACCCAGATAGAAAGGCCAAAGTCGAGGAAGCCTAGTGGCAGACCTACTCTCTGTTGAACGTCGCATCAAAAGAAACAAACATGGCCATGCCCAGGAACGTGGAGACGCACAGAGCCCTGCTCGACTGCTGCTAGGTTATTAATCAGGTGACCGCCAGCGAGCTGACCTGTCGCCGCTGGGAGACGCAACATAGCCAAAGGATAGAGCAGTTAGCATGTTCTGCGCACGAAGCCCTGAATTCACACCTGGACGCGACTGATAGCTCACCGTACCCGTGTGACTAGCCTGGCTAAAAGATGCCAACACAGAATAGAAATGTGACATTTCCATGTGACCTGGTGGCTCTGCGCCCACCCTACATGCACCCTGCATGGTAATGTTGGAAGCTGCAAAGTGCATTTCTTTCACGGCAGCATTTTTTTTTTTCACGTGAGTGGTATATTAAAATTCATTGTCAACGAAATGGGGAAATCATGCTGAAAAATCGGTTTGTTATCTCCCATTGAGCAAAGACTGGCAGGGCACACACGTGTTAATACGCAACATGCATTTGCAAGTCTATTTTCCAGATGAGACTGTGCTGCAAGTACAGGTCTGCCGAGACGGTCTGTACCGTGTCCGAGTCTCAGGTTATTTACGGTAACTGCTGGGTTCTGAGATGGCTGTGAAAATATGGAGGTTCCTCCGAAGTAGGCCAAGAAACAGTTCTAGAGGTTACTAAATCTAACTTTTATCAGTTTTTTTTTTTTTTTTTGAAGTGAGCATGGCAACTGCAGAGGTTAGAGCTGTGAAAAGCTGGGCTGAATATTCCTCCTGTAAAGTCTATTAGGATTCCATCCCTGTGGAATAACACAAAATTTCACTCTCTAAAAGCAACAGCATGTAAACTAGAATGAAAGAAGGAAATTATGTACGTATGCCTAATATTATTTGTGAATGTCTTTCATTGAACTAAAATTATATTAGAAGCCAGATTGATAAATAAAAAATTCAAAATAGTTTTAATTATCGTAAAATCGATTCTTCTTGTTTTGTACCACGTGTTTCTCTGAGAAGCAGTTTTCAACCTGCAGTCAAAGTAAGTTCCAGCAAGTACTGAAGTCTGTTGAGAATGTAATCTTTCCAAAGCTGTGGATGTATAGTCGCTCCTCAAAGACAAGTCTTATTTGGATACATCCATGGTTAACCTTCTCTTGCCACCTATCCTCCCCTAAAAGGAGAAGGAGTTTCTCTTAAAGTAGCCTAATGGATATTGACTTGGATTAATTTACACACAGCTTGATAAAATGTGGTTAAAGTTAAGTGATTCCCTAGAATAGACTCTGACCTTTATTTGGAACAAGCCCACTGCATGATGGGCACATGGACCTCGGCCAGAGAACTTAGACCACAGGGACTTAGAACGCATGGGGAGGGGCGGATCTTCCTAAATGCACTCTGTGTGCTTTCAGAGCTAAGCTATTCCTGTCGCTTTCTGGTCTTCTGTTACCATTGGGAAGCCATTCCCTTTTTAATCAATTCGCAGGGAGGCATTTAAATGGACGCCCAGTAAGTGTGAATTCCTGTTAAAAGCTCACCTTCTCTGTTCCTCAGCACCCCGAGGCTGATCAATAGCGGTGTGGTATGTTGACACCGCAGGGAGCACTAAGCTTATGGGTCATGACTCTGCTTCACGATGGTGACCCAGGAGGAGCAGAGGGGATGTCATAAAGTCCCTTGAGAAAAGAGAGTCAGCACCCTAAAAGTTCAAAACAAGCAAATTGTAAAAGGCTGAGCTGGCAAGGGTAGGGCTTAACATCTCTAATAAAAGCTTCTGTGC